TCATAATGGCATTCTTTTCATTACTATGTCGAACCACCTATAAAATTATAATCAAAGTTATCAAAAAGTTCAAGGCCAAAAATGGAAAATATCCAAACATCCATTTCTACTTTTCTTAATTTGATCTCTCCAAAGTTATATCCAAAATAACCACATTCAAATTATCAAACATTGACTTTACTATTTGATAATCCTTATAAGTAAAATAATAATATGGATTGTCAAACCCTCCTCCAAGTCCATCCAAGCGTAATTTGAATTCATACTAATAATTCAAAGTCATTATTATAACTGATCGTTTGCTTACATTATACTCTTGTCCGGTATTATTAGTATTTACATATAACATTATCGGCAAGTAAGTAATGTTTGAAATCTAATCAATTTCACTTCTTAGTAGTACATTTCCCATACTTTTTTTCATTTTATCAAATGACTGCATCAAATTTTTTTTAGGAAATAGTTATAACTAGGCTGCATAGGAAGAATTAATCACTTTCCTACTTTGCATTTCTCTATAGTTTATTTAAGTAAACCTTGAGACTGAGAAGGATTCTAAAGGACCTGTTACATCGTACCTTACTGAGAGCAATTTCATATCAGAGATAAAACTACGAATATTAGATATCAGGAATAAATTCTAGGTTAAATAACAATACTTACAATTATTATATACACTAAAATTAAGAGAATGAAAAGTACAAAGTTATAATTTGCTTTCATTAATTTCGAGGAACTTTTCAAAGATTTGCAAAGTGAATAAATTATTTCAAATTTTTTGTAAAATTTTGACTTTTTAATCATAGTGACTGAAGAGCCAGACGCAAAATCTCTAGCCTCATTTTAGAATGTAAAATTCTTTTTATTTATAAATTCCTCATTCATAGATTATTTGGGACTAAATAATTTGTTATTGCCCTAAAATTATAATTACACAGGATTAGTTTGTTCCTGATCAACCAATAGATCAGTCATATAAATTTTGGAGTCCACATGATGGGTTTCACTTTAATTTAGAGGATTAGCTTTTTTTATTAAAGATACATCAAAAATATCCTGATATGGGAAGACTTTATCAATATCCTCTTCTATATCTTCTTTCATTCTCTCTAATTTTTGAATCAAGAGTTACTCCTGAGTTTATTGCCTCTAAAATATACTGGTTTCCAGTCTAGATTCACTGCAATTTCTATTATTATTTGTTCTAATATTATCTAAAGTAACCATGAAACACATATTTTCATTCTTAAATTTCCTCTCTATTATGATATTACAGATATAATCTAGATATCGTTAAGCTGCTGATTTGGCATTCGAACTCAAGAGTCGTATATTTTGATTAAAGAAATTCTTTTCATTGGATTAAATCATAGAATCAAAGTCTGGAATTATATTAAATATATTTCCAAGCACTTTTGTAAAAGTGAATCCTGGTGAATATTGACTATTCCCTAAAATTTAGTTACTAATATTTTCACTGCAATTGATAATATCAAAGGATTGATTCACTACTAAATATGATCTATAATCCATCTATTCATAGAAAAATACCAGAAATGAAAATGCTTAAGAACTGCTTTAATCTAGTCCGACCATCATTTCTATTGGTAGCATTATCTTATCACACACTTTTAAAAATGAAAGATTCTATTATTAATAATATTTATTAGTTCCTTCATCAAAGAACTGCTCAATTAGTGTTCTATGCTATTTGTATACATATTCTGGTATTATATCATTCACACTGATGTTGAGACAGTTTTTCTTTTTAGATCCATAAAGCGATTGAAATTTGTTGATTGCCTTTTTCGACTACCTCATAATTACTACATCAAGATCTTTGTTGATTTCAGCAACTAGATAGGATGGATTCTACCCAAATAATTTATTATAGACAGAGTCATGAAACATTTAATACTTTTCATCATTTAATGCTTTATTTTTATTTAAATCAAAAGCTTCAATGTAATCATTTAAGACTTCTAATAAATAAAATTTTAATACATTTTGATTGCTAGAAGCTATATAAAACATTATATAAATACTTGGAAATTGTTAATATCTTTCAGTTAATTCATTTCGAAATTATTATAATTGTCGAATAATTCTGATTGGATAATTTATATCTCCTTGTAACTTGTTTGAATGCTCAATGAAATTGTAATAGAATTAACTTTTATCCACAATTGTCTTTTTTAATTTCATCTATATATATTGATCACTGTTTTCATTGATAGAAAATTATTTTAAAGAATCAGCTATTAATTTATTATTCGGGTTAGTAAGGATCATTCTTTCCATCATTTATATTAGAACATCATTCTCGATCTAATATTTTAAAAAGTCTAAAAGGCAAAGAGTGGTCAATGATATATTGAATGAGTTGTATTTGTTTTGATAATAATCTTTGGATTGGAAAACCTTAAAGATCACTTATTATGCCTTTACAAATTGCCTTCTTCTGAATAATATCTAGGCTAAGTCAAGTATAAGTTGTTAGATATTTTTGGTTCTCTATTCTAAAAATTATTCAAATTTTATTTCAATAAGCTAGAATATTTTCTACTTTATGTTCATATCTTTCTTGCAAATACACTCATTCTTCAAACAATTTTATTAGTGTTCAAAAACTATTAGAGTCATTTTTAATTTATTTTTCTGAACATTCCCATCAAGCCTTTCGACATAAGAGTAAAGAAACTTCAATTTTCTTACATCCACAGTTTATAATGATAGGAATTATCTATTGTACATATACTACAGTAAGTATATCATTATAAGAGATACCAATAGCCATAAATTATAATTAATTCTGGTCTACATTATAAGAGATTCCATTGAAATGGCAATTCCAATAGAGGCAAAAACAAGAGATGTTAATGCACATTTCTCTTTTGCATATATCTTTAATTCTAAAATCTAGTAAATATGCAAAGATTATATGATTATGTTGAGAATGTTTTAAAAAACAATACTCAATTTCTAATGAGTAAAAAAGAAAAATATTATTATCTGAAATATCCTTAATGGTTTTGTGAAGTAGTTTGCTGTATTATTATTTAAGGGAAGTTGCGTAGAAACTCTCAAAATTAATCCACTTTAATATACGATATCTGAGATTATTATAATTGCTCCAATTTCAATTATCATTATTGTTCCAATAACTATACCATTTAGTTATGTTATGTTGAACATACATATCTCTAATAACCAACAATAGAATGTGGATGAGACCATGTAATAATAATGACAAATGTATTAAAGGATTAAATTAGACACTCTTATTTCATGAAATTATTTATTTCTCGATTTAAAAATTAGATAAATTGTGAATGTTATTATTATCTATTAAAATGCAAAGCAAAAACAGACAACTATTGTTTTCGACTCCTCACTGAATAAGAATAAATATGGTCTTGATGAGATAAGAAGCGATTAAAGGGTGGGATCAAATTATTTTCCTGAGTTATAAATAGGGTAAAAGTTAAAGGCAATTGGTTGCAGCTAGTTTAATATTATGAGGACGATTTAAAATATCTAAGGGTAAGCGAATTCAAGTTATAAAAATTACGAGAGCAAGAAAATCAATTCTTTGTAGTAAGGTTCAAATAATTTGAACATTCTTTCTGCTAATTTAATTTATATATATATTTAGATATTATATAAATCTAACTTTAATGAAAATATAGTAGCTCATTCATCAACCAAATATTTTCATTTACAATTTTATTATAAGATAATTTTATCACAAATCGAAATACTATAAAATAATGGCTATGTTATTATTATATTAACAGGGCTTAATTTGAGATAACAATATTTAAGTCATTAGAAGGCCATGATTACATTAAACAACTTAAGTATTCATATTATTGAATTATAAATTAAATAATGCATATTTTATAAATTGGAAAATACAAAGAAAGTTTAAATTTCTCTTAAAAATTTTAACTAACAAAGGAGATATCCATTTTAAATTTATATAATGATCGGAGCATCATTAAATATAATTTATGAATTTTTTTTATGAATTTAAAATATAGCTGAGTATTCTGAGTTTCATGTAAATTTATTGTGCATAATTTACGATTTTTCTATTAAGGGATTTTACGGAAAATAAATAAAAAGCATCTTCTTGATTTTTCACTTTTTAATATATGCTCATCCATTTTGTGTTTTATATAATAAAGACATTTTTAGTTCATTTTGACCAATAATCCTCATTTTTCACTATCAAAATTTATCAAATTTCTATAATGATCCTAAATTTGACAAGAAGATCTACTAAATTTTCTGACAAGTCTTAAAACAATAAAATTGAAATAAAAGGGTAACCAACCAAAAGTTTAATGATTTATAAGCTTAAATTAATTTGGTTTAGCATATGTTAATAAATTCAATTTTTTCTACTTTTTACATTGTATTTATTTTTGATAATTAAAACCTATTTAATTTATATAAAGTAATCGTAAATAATATTGGAAGACAATCAACAGAAATTTGACTTTAAATACAGTAAACGATTATTATATCTTGAATTAATCCACAAAAGCCTATTTTATAAATTATAAAACTTTAGTATTCTTATATTTATTTCGAATGAATATCATATAAAGGACAGGGAATGTGTGCTTCATAAAAATTAATCACTTATTGATGTACTCTGATTTTATAAACTAATAGATCAGATAAAGTATTAAAATAAGTGCTTTGATTAAATATCCATTTTTTAATATAAGAAGTATGGAATATTAGCTAAATTAGTAAGGAGAATTCTGAATAGAATTTTCACAAAAATAAATTTTATTGGACATATCTTGAAAAAGATTCAACAAATATTAAATGCACACAATTTAATAAGTTTTGCAAAAAGTCAGAGTATGGCATCCGAGGAAAATTTCCTATAATAAAAAGTCCTTAATACCAACTAGATATAAACATAATATCTATTATTATGTATTTAAATAAAACTTATATTACAGAAATATAATAAAAATTTATATGAATCCAAAGGAAGGATTATCAGTATCATTATAGAAATTCCATCGCAAAAGTGCCCAGTCTACTTCCGATGATTCCTAAATGGCCCTTCCTGAATTAAAAGGTAGGAGTCTTAAAAGTGCTACGCCTAAGCTTCATAATAATAAACCTTTGCAGACTCCTTTAAGATACTACATAAACGAAAGTATGTAATAAAGAGTAAGAATTATACAATTATTAGAAAAGAAGTGAAAATCATTCAGACTATACATATATTGAAACTTATTTGGAAGCATTGTAACGATATGCTTAAGAAGAGAAAAAGAAAAAACAAATTCAAACCTTATAAATAAATAGTTTTCCAATATTACCTGGTTAAGTCATGAGGGATAGAATAAAAAAATATGCAGAAATTTAGTAAAGAGAAGTAACAAGTATCAAATGATCTAATATAAGAGTATTTTGTAAGAAAAGAATAACAACAAAAAAAACCAGTTTCTACAGCTTTGAGTATAATGAGTCAAAAGAGCATAGTTAGTTAAGGAAGTAAATCAGATGTCCTGTCGATTTCAATACCAATCAGTTCTAAAATAAAACACAAGGTTAGTTCTAAAAAATGGGCAATTTTCAAAAGAAATAAAGGGGAAACAGTATTTAAAAAGATATACGCATATTAAGATCAATAAAAAAGTGAGGTGGCATCAATTACAAAAGTGATGACTTGCTACACAACATTAAAATTTTTAGAAGAAAAACGAATTGATATGGAATCTATAAGAATAAAGATTCCTGGGCATGCTGAATGCATAGATGGTACAAGTGCCTTCTTGAATGCAGGAGGTATTATGAATGTAAGGTAGTTATTATTTGCAATGATGTTACCCTCTGGAAATGATGCAGCTTTGGTATTAAGTTATGCAATTGCATTCTTAAAAACTTGTGATAACATTCAAAGATATTGTAATGGACATTACATTGATTGTGAACTAGAGATAGAAAAAAATAAATTTTAATTAAGAACTTAATTCTTATAGATGATGAATAATCATGCTGAAAATTTAAAAATGGATAAAACTAATTATAATTCAGTTCATGGATTAAATGACACATTAAATGTCTCATGTCCGTTGGACATCTTTAAATTAGTTGAGGAATGCATCAAAATTAAAGAATTCATGGAAATTGTAAATACAAGATGTTTTAAGACTTATGCAATAACTGAATAAGGAAGCTAGGGAACTTATTATAAATGGAAAAACACAAATAAGTTATTGAAAAAAGAGGGGTGGGAAGGAATCAAAACTGGAATCACTTCAAATGCTGGTCCATGTTTCAGTGGTTATTATAAAACTGATGATTTTGATGCGATTGTGATAGTCTTACAAAGTTCGAATATGCTTTAAAGATTTAAAGATGCTGAAATTCTGATAAAATTATTGTGAAACAATTTTAATTCAAAATTTTGGATGTGGGATCTTTATATTAACCCCAATCTTTACAAAATCGTTTTTGTACATAGCTAATTTAGCTTCTCTAACTCCTTTGCCGAAACTAAATGATGGTTTATTTGGTTTAGTAGATGCCACTTGAGCTCCAATACTTTCTCTAAATTCATAGAATACATTTATACTGCACATAATATGTCTAATTTTTATCTATGTTCTTTTGTTACGGTATTTTCGGAGCTTTAGTAAATGAGTATTTAGGTTATTCTTGCAATTCTGTTGAGAAATCTTTTTTTGGTTTGTATGTTCCTGGTCCAACCTTACTCGGAGTCGAAAAAGAAACAGAATGAGCCCTTCTATTACCCATAGTATATTTTGGGCCTTGAATTCTCTAGGTTACATCATAATTAGGTCCTGGTGTCTTTGTAAGTTCTTTCTATAAGAATCGTTGTTCTTACCCAATTCTAACTGTTCCTGCAGACCATTTTCTGAGATGCTCAGCTTTTTAAGGTTCAAACTAATGATTATAAATAACAATACATCGACATCTTTTCTTTTGTAATGATCATAGTGATTTGTGTTTAAACTCTATCTTGTAGATGTTCCCATTCCTGCACTAGGAGCTCTAGCAGCTTATTAATCAAAATTTTTTGTAGGATTATAGATTGGACCTGGACTATGTTTACCTTTCTCCATCAGCCTATTTTCTCGGTATACTTGTTAAGCCTAATGTCTACTAGAAGTTCCAAAGCCAAAGGCAGGAACATTTGGAACCGTTGACAATAACTCTACTTTCAAATAATCATTTTACTCTTTCCAAAGGAAGAATTTCGATTGTGGTTTTCAAATTCAATCAATTCATTCGGACTGTGAGATGGTTTGCTCATTACTTTTAATTTTAAAATAAATTAGTTATAGTTGCTTATTTAATGTAATATATTGAATTGTATTTAGAACTTAGAATTGTTAAATCAAATTTTATAATGAATAACAAAATTGAGAAAATATGTAAAAGTGAATATTAATGGTCAAGATATTATAAAACTTCAATTTTAAAAAGTTGAAAATGTTATTAAACTTACGCTGATAGATTTTTTATATTAATGAATTTGAAGCAATAATTAGATATGAAGATTGCTCAAAAAAATATCTAGAACAATGTCTTGATATGTTAATTTCCTTAAAAAAGATTTTTTAGAGCAATAATAATATCTATTTATTAAAATTGAAAATTAAATAGTTAAATAAACATTATTAATTAAAATCAAGCTTTTTTGGGTATCAATTTATGAGAATATCTCGGCTTTGTGAATTAACTGTGAAGTAAACATTAATTTGTCAATATGGAATACCTAATGAAATTATTATTATTATAATAATATACTTCCAAATATTTGAACTAGGAATATTTTCCTATGTCTTTCCTCCAACTAAATACACAAATTAATAGTCATCACTTACTATTGCATCAAATTTAATTGTAGGACAGACTAATTCACCCATTTAATAAAATTATTAATCAGTTTCATCATATTTTTCAATTTATTTAATGTATTTTTTGCCAGATCTTCCTCCAAAAATCCAAATACCATCAGGTAGAGTCAAAGAAACATGGTTTCTTCTTGGTTAATTAGGAGATTTGATTTTTTTCCATTGATTAGTTGTGATATCGTATTTGAAACATCCTTGTTCATCAAATAAATACAAAGTATTTGGTTCATTACCTTAAACTAAGGTATGATTATAGCATTTAATAGGAACAGCTTATAAGTTCTTGGTTTAATACGTATCTAAATTGATAAGTTAAAAAATGTCTTAAATTCCTTAATCTGTTTTCCCTCCTGAAATGTATAACTTATTTCCTATTTATTTTGATGCCAACCCACTAACTCCTTTTGTAAGTATTAATTAAGAGATCTTGGATTGTTTTAAATTTGGATCATATGATTCACATAAAGCTGTTCTAATGCCCTCTTACTTCCCTCCTATCAATAGAATTTGATCTCCATGATATGCTATTTAAAAGCCATAACGGTTTGATACCAAAAAGTCATGTTAACTAGATTACTTTGATTGTATATCAACTAGTTCAATAAGATTTTATCTTTGGCCCTTCAATAACCCTCCGATAATATAAAATTGAGTTTGATTTTAAATAGGAATCTCCATCTTTGAAATTGAATGCTCGCTTAATGATTACTTGTTACTAAAGAAATCATTAATAATTGATTGTTCAGGGGATGCTTTGTCTAAAATTGAACTAATATCTGTTGGTATATCTAAAGTTATTTGTTTGACTTCTGTCTTTCGTATTTAGTGTTTAGACGATTATAAACTAAAATGAGGTTGGCTATGTTAAGTAAACCCCTTTTTGGAAAATGGACTTGCCCTTGTAGTGTTAGGTTGTTAAAACAATTTAGATGATACTCGTTTTATTCTATAGTCTGAGTCTCTTTCTAAAATACATAATAGATTAGAGATTTATTTGACTATGTCATTTGCATTTTTGATTTACAATTACTAGTATTAAATTTTAGGAGCTTGTGATAAATTATCATATTCGTTTTCGAGTTCTTTGATTGTCTTGCAATTTATAGTGTAATATTCTCGAAACTTTTTCAATTGCTCATATCCAGAGGTATTCTATTAATTTACAATATTCTTCTCTAATTGGATTCCTCTTCCCCTATATTCATCAATTATACACTTTTATAATAATAATTAGGTGTACTTTTTAATCCTATAAAGACTATTAATGTTTCATTTTATGGACTTCAACTTATTCAATCAATTCTTGAAATTTCAATTATACAATCTCAACAATTTATGTGCAAATTGAACTTAATGATTAAATTTGGAGCTGAGACATTTTATTTATTTAATTATTTTCTTTTTAAATCTGATCATCTAGAGTGTTAAAGTTCTTAATGATTTTTTGAACTTTCTACAATTATTATTTATTTTATTAGCTTATGTTATTCAAAGCCTAATTTATTATTAAGAATCTTACTTTTTCTATTGAAATAATGTTTTATACTTTCAAACTGCATTTGATCATACATTCTTGGCACAGCAATTATTATGTAGTTGTACAGTAATCTAATTACTTAAAAAATAAAGTTACTAGTATAAATTAATGAATGTTTAGGACAATTAAATTGATCTATTTCATCTCCAGAGAAACATTCTTCTTCTGTGTCCATCTTGATAACAAATTATTATTTTATATAATAACAAAATACTTCAAAATTAAACGAAAATTAATTAAAATTATAATTAGGAATTAAAATAATAAATCAGCAAAGAGTAATAAATGTTGTAATCTTAAGCGAATCGTTGATCAATATTGGGATATGATTCTTTATCCTTATAAGACATATACACGAACAACGAGATTGCATCTATTCACAACAAACAATATATTAAATTGTTTTTCTAATAAAATCAACTTTTGAACAAGATTTCATAATAAAAACTACAATTTTTAACATTTTTAAAAAACTTTCTATTTTCTATAATATATCTAAATTGATCTTTTATATTCAATAATCAAAAGGATCGATCATTATTAAAAGACAATGAATGACATTCTTTTTAATCACTAATTTCTTAAAATTCCAAAAAATACCCACTGATATTGGGTTATCTAAGCTATTAAATTGCTTGATTATTTCGTGAACATTCTATAATGTGCCGAATTAAGCTTTGCTAATTTGTAACTCTTCAGATATGTCTATAATCAATTATATTTTTTTAAGTCTAAAATTTATTGCGAAATAGAGAAGGTTTTTAATAGCTAAGGAGTTTAATCCATCAAATAATTTCAAACAACTTTCTTAATTTGGTACAATCCAAAATTAAGTAATGTCTGAAAAATAAGTCATCTGATGAAAAATCAGATTTTTGTGAATTTGTTATAATTAAAAAGGAGATGATTTTCAATCTAAAATTTATTACAAGAGGAAGATTTCCAATTTAGTTAGTGTAAGTCAGAGAGAATAGAAAAAAATAAAAATTTGCTAGAATGGGTGATAACTTTTGAATGATATTATTGAATAGATCATGCTCCTTTGAGTTATGATTTAACATAATCTTAAAATCTTGGTTAATTGAGCAATTCTAAGGCTTGGTTGGCAGCATTGATTTCTTTGTTGTATTCTGCAACGGTTGAATTGTAGACATCGGTGGCAAAGGCAAAGTCATCGTTTTCAGCTTATAATTATCCGTTGAGGGTTGCTAAATCAGCATCGAGTTCATCGATGAGGTCAAGGGTTTATTCAATCTTGTCTAAATGGATTAGATATGTAGATAGTACTAGCGTTGGCTTCAATTTCAGCATTCTTAACAACGACGGCTCTTTAGAATTCAGCATGTTCTTAGTTCAATTAGACAACTTGGGCGTTGAAGTCGATAACAGCTTAAGCTTCATCGGCTGTGATTTAGTTGAGAGAATCAACTAATTCAACTCTCAAGTTATTGAAGGCAACAATAATCTAGGAATGAGAAAATAAGTTACGTCTCTGAGAGCACCTTGATCGGCGAAGTTGGATTCAACTGTGATTTCCAAAAGTACTTTGACAAAGATTTGGAATTAGTTGTGCTTTTTCAATGAGTTTTGGATTTTGGTGAGGTTCTTTTAAACCTTCTTGATTTAAGCAAGAGATGGGGTTTCGATTGTGCTCAATAATTAGAGGCATTCATCGATGGCACTAATAGCATCATTGTGTTCTGCAACTTAAGCTTCAAAGGTCTCGTGATCGTTTTCTCTTTAGACAGTGGATTCTTGGAGTGTTCTTCTGTTTTAGGCGATGTTTTCTTGTAATTATTCAAGTTAGGCAGCAAATCTATCTCTTTATGGGATGAGGACATTATCATAGAAATCGTGAGCGTTGAAGAGTTCTAAAAAGGATCAGAAACGATTGGTACCTCTCTCCTTGTCTTGGATTTCTTATTCAAGTCTTGCTACTTCTCTGTTATGAACGTCAGTTCTTCTGTTATATTCGTGATGGACTCCAGCTAATTCCTCTTCTAGTTCATCAACCTTAATTATTAGTGATATGGGTTTACGAGTTTTGCAATTTCGCTGTTGAGTTCAGAGAGAATACCTCCGGTTGTCATGTGGAGTTCGGCATAATTCAAAATGAACTTGCCCCAACCAGATGAGTGAATTTAAGCAAGAGCCTTTTAGTCACGACTAGTCCAGACGGAGGATTAGACATTGATGGCTGTTGCACCAAGCACCAACAATACACAAAGAGTTAGTTTTAACATTTATTGTAATTATTATTGACATACGTCTGAGGATTATTTTGTGCTAAAAATCGAAAAACGAATATTTATTTTCACATAATATATAAATAAAATATATTATTATGAATGATGATCACTCCATTAACATTCGATGAATATAATCATAAATCAATAAAGCTCTTCTATTTGCTCTTTGATCTCACAAATTCTTATACATATTCTTCCTTAATTGAGATTTCTCCAGTTTAAGGGTTGATCAACACTCTTTTTTCATCGCAAAAGTAGGCAGCCGGAGTCAATTTTATCACACAATGTAACGGTATATCCAGAGTGGGTACTTCTGGTATCTCATTTTGATGGAAGTAAGCATATAAACATCTTAAAATGGCTTAATGAGCAATTATCATAACTGGTTGTCTTGATCTTTCAATCTCAAATATCACAGGTTCAATTCTACTAATTAAATCTAAATATGATTCTCCTCTTGGATATCTATAACCTAATTTATTGATTTTTCTTTCCTAAGGAGTGATAATATTATAAAATGAATACTTAAAAATCACTGGGAAATTTCTATGCAATTTCAGTATATGTCATTCCATCGCATATACCTACATTGATTTCATCTAATGTCTTTAATTGTAATGGTTAAATTTCTAATTTATTAGCCACAACATCAGATGTATGGATAGCTCTTCGCATAGTGGATGTAAAGAAGATGATTTCATTTTTCATTTCTTTAGTGGGAAACTCTTTAAAGAAAAAGTCTGCCAACTTGTCTGCATACATCTCGCCCAACTCAGATAAATCGGAATCTCCTCCTACTCTATCGTCAACATTGTACTGGCTCTCTCCGTGTCGAGATAAGTAGATTGGTCTGGGATAGGTATGTAGATTCATAATAAAGGATACGATCTTGGACAACAGAAAGCCATAGACTTAATGAACTATAATCTAAGCATGGAAACATGTTTAGTACGTCTGCTCCGACGTTCATAGTCTTGATGTATGAGAGATTCTCATCGTCGGTTATAGTTTCGTAGATTTACTCGTACATCTTGATTCTATTAAGGAAATCTATCGTAGCCTCATCAGAGTTCACGTTGCAATAGTCTGGGTTGTTGATCTTAGTCAGTCGGATATTATTTTAAATCACTTTGGAATCATTACATATGGATTCAATCCACAGAGTTTGAATTCCATTAAAAGACTGTTTCAAATCACTTTCGATCTAAAGTCTTCTTTCCCTTGTGATGTTTGTTCCGTCAAGTATTCCTACATCTCCTCCATTCTTAAGAAATTATATTAAATCTTGTAATGCCATTTTAGCACAATCGCTTCTTGCTTTTTGGGCCTAAATTTATTTGTATTCATTGTACTTCCTCATTGTGGGGATCAAAAAATTGAGAATTGCATTCAGTACCGCATATTTCTCTTCTGTAATTTCCATTTATAAATACTCTACTCTTGTAGCCCAACCAATTAAAGTAACGATTCAATTTCCTAGAAATATATGTTTTTCCTCGTGCTGGCAAACCAACTGTACAGATGGCTATTTTTTATGATCTATTGCATCCCTACATATTATAAAATTTTAATAATTCTTAGCCTTAAAATAATTTTAATGTTCAAGTGGTTCAAAAGAGATAAACCATAACTTTCTACTAATCTCAAAAAGCCCTATAATCAACTCTCCAGGGAACAAGCCCAAGAAATCCTTGCTAGTTTTTCATATAGAACCATGGCTGATCTCATTTATAAAGATGATTCTCATCCAGATCTAAACGTAGAATATGAGTAAAATAAGAAAATTCAATTAAAAACAGAATGCTTTATGGACAAAGAAGGGAATTTGCATTTCCATTAAGATGAGCAATTGTCTTGGGTTGATGATGATTCTCATAATGAGGAAGATGAATTAGAGAAATAAATTTATGAATAAATGTATGAAGATATGTAGGAAGAACTTCATTAAAGAGGAGAACGAGAATATTTCAGACCAATCACTGGACCTGAAAACAATGATAATGATGAATGGGAAACTGATAGTGATGAACAAAATTGATTTTTTATATATATAAATATTTATCAACCAAATTTACCATGAGTCTCTATTAATTATATCCCTTTGATTGTAATCTTATCTGAAATTTATAAACTCTCGATCAATTTTTGAAAATCATTCTGAAACACATTCTTCAACAATAAAAATCCTATTCAAATTTACACTCTTTATTACCATCACTCTTCATCATTTCTAGCACTCTAGTAAAAGATTATTCTTCTGTTGTTGCCATTATTTTAAATAATCTAAAAAAATTACATTTCTATACTGTCCATCTATGATAACTTTTATTTTATAACTTACTCCACCCTACTCTAATTTACTCTAATATAATTCTTGTAGTTTCTTGCTTGGCAAATACTATTTTATATATTTGTAAATATTTACAGATGAGTTTGCTCTTTATTTTGATAATGATTTTGTTTAAGATTTCTAAATTTTGTAATACGATGTTTGTTATTTTATTCTAGAGAATAGTTTCTAATTTTCATCCATTATCTTCTATTGAAAGTCCTTTCTGGTTTTATAATTTAATGTTGTTTTTGTCGGAGTTGTTGAACTGTTTCTATGTTTCATTGTAATGCCTAAGATTTTTTGAAATAGCAATTGATTCTCTCTATCTATTTGTCTCGCCTTCTCTTCTTGAATATAACTCTAACGGGCTGTCCTCGACTAGGTTATGATATACCTCTTTATTTAGATTATGGATTTAGATTTGGAAGCATTAATTTATTAAATGAGTTTACAAGCTTTTAAAAAAGTTGCTCTTTAAATGATTTATTTTTGGTTTTTCAAGTAGAAAAGAATTACTCACAAACATACTAATTCGATTCTTAAGTTGAAACTATATTAATAATAAGCTTAATCTTATTAAATCTTCTTAGTTTTTTGGATTTTATAAAACAAAAACAATCATATTTTACACTTAATACACATAACTAATACAATTAAAGTAACAAAACTAATTCAAATTATGGAACCTAATGATATTCTTTATTGGAAATTATACATAACATTATTATTAGAAGGAAGTTATTAAATTTTTGGAATGATTTGATCTTGATCTAAGAGAAACATATTTTATCTTAACTACATTTTATAATACAAAAGAAATATTTCATATTTAAATGAAAATGAGGTGTTTTAGGACCAAATTAATATAATAATAATAACCTTAGCAATTTTATAATCCTAAATAACCGCTTCACCACAGTTAAGAAATAAAAAGAATCGTACTTTAGTGATACAACAAATCTTAAATAAATCTTGGTTTTTAAAAATAGAGAAGGATTAGAAATGATCAAATATATTGGTAAAAATTGGAGGTGAACTTTATCAGTTTAATTGAACCTTTCTCAATAATTATCTATAGGATGATGAAATTAAATTATCACATTATTTAGCTATATGCGATTATCTATAAAACTAATAACATTTTTTAAATTTTAGATTTTGATGGTATTTAAAAGCAAAAAGAATAAAATTTGCTGGTAGGATAATGGTGTGATTTCCCTGAATAATGATTAAATTAATTAAGAATCAATCTTCCCTGACTGCCATTAGCAATTCAATGCCATCTTCCTTGTATATTGGAGCTATGGCAGCATAAAGTGGAACTTCTTTAAGCTCTTTGCATTCAAAGGCAATTCCCTGATTCTCTCCATTTATTGAAAAAGATAACTAGCCCTTTTAAAATTGAATTAGTTAGTTTGTACATCAATCATATTAAGCATAACTCCTATAACGTCTCCCTTCTTGTATTATTTGCCATACTTATTGCCAGTGGAATTAGAATTGTGTCTCAGTTCACCATTATAGATTGCCCATCCTTCTTCGTTATCACTGAAAGCTTGCTTAGGTGGAGCATTGAGTTTACATCTTAGAACAGCCCATTCTTGGTGCATACGCCAAGCTTAATTAAACTACCCTTCAAGATTTTAATCTCATAGTAATATTTATAACCTGGAGTGAATTCCTTAAAGTAGCAATCTTAATACCTAATCACCAATCGCACTTTTAAATCCAGATCCATCTGTAGCTATCACTTATAATTAGTCTTGGCACAATTTCAATTTAGTACTTGTGCGTTTAGGGTCCCAAGAAAATAGAGCTTGCTTAGTTGACATTCTTACGTAGTAGGTACCCATCTGGGTATTCCATTTTATATATTTTTATTTAATTTAATGTAAAATTGCATTTCAAATTATTTGATGTCTCATTCGATTCATCTTGATTTTTTACTACATAGGTTCCTTTTGAAATCAAATTGTTAGATGAACAACTTTTAAAAATAAACGATTTAATGAAATTGATATAATAGAAGGTTTACTCAATAAATAAATAAATAAATAAATATCTAATAAGAAAAGAAAGTTTATTGTAAGTCAATATGCTACTCTCAATTTTAGTGGACAGTTCTGCACATTCAAAATCTTTGCTGAACAGTTTATAAACAATCAATTTAAAAATATGAAGGAAATACAAGAGGTGATTTCATATAATATCTTTGTATANAACCTTAGCAATTTTATAATCCTAAATAACCGCTTCACCACAGTTAAGAAATAAAAAGAATCGTACTTTAGTGATACAACAAATCTTAAATAAATCTTGGTTTTTAAAAATAGAGAAGGATTAGAAATGATCAAATATATTGGTAAAAATTGGAGGTGAACTTTATCAGTTTAATTGAACCTTTCTCAATAATTATCTATAGGATGATGAAATTAAATTATCACATTATTTAGCTATATGCGATTATCTATAAAACTAATAACATTTTTTAAATTTTAGATTTTGATGGTATTTAAAAGCAAAAAGAATAAAATTTGCTGGTAGGATAATGGTGTGATTTCCCTGAATAATGATTAAATTAATTAAGAATCAATCTTCCCTGACTGCCATTAGCAATTCAATGCCATCTTCCTTGTATATTGGAGCTATGGCAGCATAAAGTGGAACTTCTTTAAGCTCTTTGCATTCAAAGGCAATTCCCTGATTCTCTCCATTTATTGAAAAAGATAACTAGCCCTTTTAAAATTGAATTAGTTAGTTTGTACATCAATCATATTAAGCATAACTCCTATAACGTCTCCCTTCTTGTATTATTTGCCATACTTATTGCCAGTGGAATTAGAATTGTGTCTCAGTTCACCATTATAGATTGCCCATCCTTCTTCGTTATCACTGAAAGCTTGCTTAGGTGGAGCATTGAGTTTACATCTTAGAACAGCCCATTCTTGGTGCATACGCCAAGCTTAATTAAACTACCCTTCAAGATTTTAATCTCATAGTAATATTTATAACCTGGAGTGAATTCCTTAAAGTAGCAATCTTAATACCTAATCACCAATCGCACTTTTAAATCCAGATCCATCTGTAGCTATCACTTATAATTAGTCTTGGCACAATTTCAATTTAGTACTTGTGCGTTTAGGGTCCCAAGAAAATAGAGCTTGCTTAGTTGACATTCTTACGTAGTAGGTACCCATCTGGGTATTCCATTTTATATATTTTTATTTAATTTAATGTAAAATTGCATTTCAAATTATTTGATGTCTCATTCGATTCATCTTGATTTTTTACTACATAGGTTCCTTTTGAAATCAAATTGTTAGATGAACAACTTTTAAAAATAAACGATTTAATGAAATTGATATAATAGAAGGTTTACTCAATAAATAAATAAATAAATAAATATCTAATAAGAAAAGAAAGTTTATTGTAAGTCAATATGCTACTCTCAATTTTAGTGGACAGTTCTGCACATTCAAAATCTTTGCTGAACAGTTTATAAACAATCAATTTAAAAATATGAAGGAAATACAAGAGGTGATTTCATATAATATCTTTGTATATTGTAGCGAAATGCGATTGTGGTTGCAAAAGATTATTAAGAGATAATATTGTTATGTAATGCAAAATAATGATAAATCTCTTTTAAAAATTAATTAAAAATACTATGATAAGATCAGATCAGAAAAAATCATCTGTTTAAGAATATTCATCAGAGTTATCGCTCTATTAATCTTTCTGTTAAAATTTGTTTAAGTATTATTTCATATTGTTTGGAAATCCTAGAAAGCTATTCATTCTTTCATTTAAACTTTTAGTATCTGTTTAAGGAGGTTTTCTTCTGATTCCCATTCTTTTATTTTATTACTCCTCTCTCCATTTATACCTGTCTACTAATCGATTTTCTGTCATCTGCAATTATTCTTCTAAAAGCTCCCATCTTTAACTCAATTTCTCTCTCTTTGTCATTAGATTTTACAAATTCTATTCTAATGCATTTAAGCAATGATTCTAAGGGTAACATATGTCTACAAAGTAGATTATGTTATCATATGTTTGAGGAACTTTGCTTTCATCTTTAAATAATGAGTTCAAACACATTATTTCATTCGAGATATGATCAAAATTTGGACTTTTTTGCTTTATTAAATCTAGATTTAAATCTTATTGATTTTAAGGTGTTCCACTAACTTCTTATGAATCTTTAGCTGTTTTCAAGAATTCTTTAATCATTTCATGTAAATTCTCTATTACTTTGGCATAATCTCTATCAATTTTTTCGTGTTTTGATATTTCAAGTAATAATTAAGGTTTTCTTATTTCTAATTCTTTTAAGGTCCACCTGAAGGATTCTTTATTTTATATTATTTTGATTTATTCCGAATCTTAAACTTAAAATTGAACAATAGAAGTATTGAAGTGATTTAAACAATTTAGACAAAAATAAGTTTGTTTTATGGACATTTCCAAACATTTTATATGATAAATATGCCCACAACTCATTCTAATTGCAATTTAAGTAGTCTATTTATCAGAACAAAGTGTGCATAGTTTATCAATACTTGTTTATTATTTTATAACCTTTTGAATAAGGTTTAAGTATTCTTCAATATTCTTAAGTTTATTTTGTATTTAAATAATCTAAAGCTAAAAGCACCTTAAATTTTTATCATATGAATTTTCATCCTAGTTTTATATTTAACAAATATCTTTGAAATAAATAAGAATATCATTCTAATTTTCAATATTATCAAAATAGTTACTAATTGCTTAATAGTCAATCTTCTTAAGATATATTTTATTATATTTATTTAACATATTTTAATAGAAATCTTATTCTTTTTTATTCCAATTACTTTATTATTGGAAGGATAAAAATAAATCTTAATCATAAAAATTACTATCTGCTTTGCTCTTCGAACTTAATGATTGATATCTAATTTGCCAATTCTTATCTGAAGTGAGCTATTACAGATCACTTACAATCATGTAATAATCCAACAAGAGGAATTTATAATTTTTAATTAAAAGCTCTATCTCTTATTCAATTTTTGATAAGACAGATTTACTCTTAATCTTTAATTAATTAAACTACTAATCAACAATATTATCAGGTTAATGTATTAAAAATTGAATTTAGATGGAGTCAGTCTCATTTTAGCAATTAAAGCATTTTTTTGTATAATTTTATTCGTTATGTCTGTTCAAGCAATCTATATGGTAAAGATGTCCACACTGTATAAGAATAACAATATCATCTATTAAATAGTTCTCACAAAGAGTGCACATAATCATCTTAATATATATATTAATTTTATTTCAATTCATTTCAAAATATCACTTTAAAATTTTGGATTTTATAAAATTCTAAAATACAACATAAGTTCCCAAAATATATTCGATTTAAATTTTTGATTAATATCTGCAAAAATATTATATTTTTTGATCTATTTCTTAAACTCTATTAATTTAAACATACTTGTGTATAGTTTTTAATTCTAATTATTTGAAATTGAATCAATTGTTTAATAGCCAGCTTATTTTAGTTAAATTTAATATAAACTAGATAGCTGGATGAGGTATCTATTATATTCTTTTAATTTAAACCTAATAAATAGGACTTTAAATCTTTCCAAGAAAAATTAATGAAAAAAAGTACTGGGATAGGATCAACAATGATTAGGGGAGATTCATAGATTCATTGAGATTTGTATTTAGATACTGAAGAGATACAAATTTTTTATTCAAAATTAATAGATTCTTATATTAATGCTAACAGTATCTTTTTTATTAAGGATTGTTTAATTTTGAATTAGTTGAGTCAAATAAATTTGTGAGAATGGATTAATAATGATGGAATGAATAAAATGCGGTATTAAGATTATATAATGTGAAACATTTCCATAGTCCTTTAAGGTGTGAATTATAAAATCAATTATATATACCAACATTAAAACGAAGAAATTTTATTCCGTTTTTGGTATTATTAAAAATAAATATGAAAACATTCGTTGTGATTTGCCTCGTAGCAGCTGTGTTTGCACTTGACACAAACAAATTCGCCGTGCTTCTCCAAACAGGCACAAGAGGAAATGATGCCGTTGAATCCGTTTACAATCTCTTAAGAGATTTGAAAACAGAAAATGTGAATGTGTAAGCTGCTGCTGACAAAAAGAACAATACAGACGAAGGTACATTGTAATTTTATGTGTAGAAATCTTTTCCCAAGTCATTGGTGATTTGACTAACGTTGCCTCACTCAATAAGTAATAATGGGAAGCTCTTGGTGCTGTCAGAACCGATGTTGAAGCTTAAGTCAGAGTAAGCAAGACAATTAATTCATTAAGGATGGATATTAATGGTTGGCCTGGGCTGAAGCCAGACTTGCTGAAATCGTTAGAAGAAACAATTAACTCCAAGACTAAAGATGTTGGGCCAATGGACTTTTTGTTAAATCCCTCGCTGATCATGCCGATGCCATCGGAGTCGTCACACTCTTGGAATAAGACGTTGCTGGATTCCTCACAAACAATGCTGGAGTCGAACTTGTTGAAAAGGCTTAATCAATCGCCGATAAATTATCAGCATACAGCCATCTTTTCTAATAAGATGCCATCTAAAAATTCTAATCACTTGCTGAAGTCAAGAGAGACGGCACAACCGGAGAATAAGTCCTCTAAATCTTATAAGATTTACAAGATGAATTAGAATCAACTCTTGCTACCTTATAAGAATAAGAAATCCATGCTGCATTCGCTCTTGCCAAATACGTTTCAGATACTAATGCCGAAGTTGCCTGGTTGACTTCAGAATAAGAAAGAAGAACCGGTCTTGTTGAGAAATTAGAAACTGTACCATAATATGTTAATATTTTAATAGCAACTCCCAGCCGTTCTTGCCTAATAAGCCAAGGCCCTTAAACTCTGGAAAGATTCCTTGAACGCCGTTGCTGGAGCCACCGCTGATTTGGAAGAGAAAAGAGAATTCTATGCCTCCGAAACTGTCAGAAGAGCCGGTACCAATTATCACAATAATCTATAGAGGAAAATGCTATCATCGATGTTGTCATCTAATTGTTCAAAGACTAAGTCAGATCCTTAGCCTCATAAACCAGCCTTGGAAGAAAATGATTTCCATAATACAAATATATTCAATTTAAAAAATGAATCTTAAATTATTGCTATTCTCTAGTCATTCAGATACACCCTATCATATTTATTTATGTTTTTAGTTTGGAACCATTCAATATTTTAGTATTAATGTAACTTTAAGCATAATAAAATAGAATCATCTGATTATTGTTCTTTTTGGTAACCAAATTTTAAAAGAACGAATTCATCAACAAGATCAGAGTTTACTTTTTTTGAAGTCATTAAATGAATCATTCTTTTCATTTTAGTTTAAGCACTCTACAATATTACGTTACTGTTCAAATAGCTAAGATTTAAATATTTCATCATGATTGCCCTTGTTGATGATGACAATATCTAACAAATCTTAGATATATTTAGAATCTTATCGTTCAACTGTTAATAATTGCTGTGTTTAAAAGCTAAATTTAATAGAAATTATGAATAACAAATATGTGTTTGTTTACAACATTTTTCAGAACTTAAGGTCAAGGTTTTGAGTCTATTATAAATATCCATCCGTAATCTTGAACATTTGTTATGGATTAAAACAAAAGAGACATATTTTTGGGATTGAAAATTAAAAAAAACCTCGAATGGATAAGATTATTAAATGCAAATTTTTGATTGCATTTAATCTTGTTTCAGAATTGATTTCTCATTAAAATTGAGAATCAATCATATCTAAAATTGGTGAACTCACAAAATCAATTAATCTACTTCTGCTACCATCTGATATTTAAATATTGTCCAAATAACGATAGGATAATTCGTACAAAATTCTACTTGACACTTTGTCCTTTATAACTGTATAAATAAAATTGATTGGATTCAAAAAGTGATTTCATATCATGATAAAACCTGCGTCTTATCAGTTTTTTCTAGACTTTAATTGTTAATATATTTGACTCATATAAAAGGGGAAACTTAAATTTTATTACACATAAATAAAATTATGTTCGCTCAATCTTTTGCCAGTTTGGAATCCAGCAAAGTTAATAAACCAAAAAAAAGCTAACTTGGAATGTTATCAACTGCCATTAGTAAAATTGGAGAGTCTAACTATACCACAAAAACCAGTTAGTCAACTAATATGTCTCCAGTCAGAATGAGAATATTCAGAGACTCATCACCAAAATAAAGCAAAGGCTTATAAGGAGTAGTAGTTGGAGAATACCAGTATTTATCATTATTATAATAGCCCTTTAACTCCTGCACAAATTGTATTTAGTAGCATTCACAAAAATTCTTCTCATATTTAACCTAATACAAATTATATTGAATCTCCATAAAAAACTAAAGTAAGGCTGGATAGATTCAAGAATTGGGATTCAAAATTAGGCTTAGAACTTTAGATCTAAAACTCAAAATTCACTCGATTCAATAATGAATTATCACATTCAAGTTATCAACCTCATCATTTATCCACCAAATCATCTATTTTTTTGGGTAACAATCAGAGCAGATTAGGTTTTGGTGGAAACTAAAGTGACATAAGACTATTGAGTGCAAAATTGAACGCAATCCCACCTACTCAAATAGGTGCATTTACTGTTGGGTAAGAATTAGAATATACATTTATAGACACAATCATGAATTAGCAGACTTACAACAATCCCTTACTAGAATATTAAAGTCAAGTCATTAGTATTGAACAAAATTGATAATTATATTAAATTACAAGAATATTAAAATGGATATAAATATAAATTTCAAGTGAAACATTCTTAATTTAGATTGAAAATTTTAATATGAGAAATCTTGAATGCAAATTGAATGATCAACATTAGAATTGATAGATATTTTGATAAGATAAATTATTAGAAGGATTATTTAAATCTCATGATAGTGATTATGGCTTAAAGAGATTTCGAATATGCATGCAAAAGAAGAAATATAATATTAAGAAATAAAACTTAAGCTTCTTGTGGAATCAAAATAGTTTGAGTGAATAATCCAAAAAATTTTGATTTTATCTAAATATATATTTATGATTATAATTCTGTATGTTTAATAATGTACTTCTGTGATGTATTATAAATCATTTTCTGGCAGCTAAGGCAACTTGAGTTGCAATTCTATTTAAATCTTATTATCCTTCTTTGGTTACAATTCTTGATCCTTTCTTTAAAAGAGATTTGTTATCTTTCTTTAATACTTTAATAGTTTCCAATTATTAGAGTAAATATCTAATGACTTTTCCAGATCCAGATTCATGCTTGCCATTATCATTAACTGAACCAAACATGTGAGTCAGATTTCCAACACCCTGAAGTTTTAATTAATTATTAATACCCAATGGCCTCTAACATAAATTTTACGAGCAAGTGCTGCAGCTCTAACATACATCCAATCTTAGTCAATTGGTGAGATTTCTTTTCCAAGGCCTGTCTTAACAATTGAAGCCCACTCTGGAATCTTGATCTTGTTATTTTTTTTCAAGTATTCTGCATAAGCACGAATGAAATCTTAAGCTGGTACATCCTTTAATTAATTAAATGAGCATACCTTCACTGTATAAAATGGTGCTGACATTAGAAAAATTAAATTATTTTTTGAATATTTGCAAGATTTTAATTAATAAATTAAAACAACCTCATAAAACTCTAGTAATCTCACCTTTTGTCTTTTACACTAGAATTCAGTCTAGCCATTTCTAATAATGACTATATTAATTCATTAAAATTTTATAGCAATTATCTGGCCATATTAAATTGATAAATTAATATTTCTCGTTTTTTTAAAGAAATCATAGAATAATATTAATGAATTGACTTTAAGCTAAATAATAAGAAATATAAGAATCTAATTAATAGTGTTTCTGTCATCGATGATTAGTTTGATTAATTAATGAGAATGATTTACTTTAAGTAAGATGAAAATTATGAGATGAGGAATTATGAAAATATGTTAGTATCAGGTCTTAATTTAGGATTAAGAATATATATATAGAAACAGTAAATGTATTATTCTATTTTTATAAAAAGTTGGTAAGAATGATGTTTGAGGATAGATAAAAAACTTACAATAAATTAAGCAAAAAGAGAGAGGTAGGGAATGAGATAGTTGAAAAATTGGATCAATTGAATAATATGAAAAGTTGATATATATGATTATAGGAAAATTATAAGAAAATGGGGATAAATATTTATAAATTAATTACATACATAAGCATTTTTCGATCCGTTTTTAAAACATTAAATTAAATATATGCAAAAACTAGCCATCTTGACATTGGTTCTTGCTCTTGCAGCTTCCAAGTTTGTAGATACACATGCAAGCTTGGCTTAGATTGATTCTAATCCATTTGGAAATGTGGTGTTGTCAGCAATCAAGGCACACTTATAAGCTTAAACACCAGCCAATGAAGTTAATATGTTATTGAATGGTGTTGCTGCTGGATTACAATAAGATTAAAATGACCATGATCACGCTTTTGAACTTGATACAACCACAAACAACAGAGTAAGAATATTTAACCATGTAATAGATCGTTGAGGATTTGGAAAAGGAAATCTTGTATCACTAAAATCAAATCTCATCAAACACTTAATTGAGAGATGACACAATCGAAGCATTGGCTGTTTCTGAAGAAGACATCAGAGTCACAATTTCAGACATTGCAACAAATGAATAAACTTATGCTAGAGAAGAAGCCACAAGAAACTAATAACACGAAACCTTTGTTGCCAAGGTTGCTGCCATCGATGATGTTATTGATGCTATTGATGATGCTGCCAAACTCATCCAACATTTGAGCTTAGGTGCTTCATTCGTCTAAGTTAAATCAAAGTATGAAACAGTTCACAAGAGACTCACTGACAACACCTCACACAGCCAACTCTTATAAGTATATCCTTTCTTTCTATTATCCACTTTAGCCAGTCGTTGTTGCTCTTACCGAATTAGCCACTCACGGAGTCAACCAAAAGGCCTTGACCAAGATTGCTTAATTATTGAGCGAAATCAGATAATAATTAGTCTAAGAAAAGGCTACCAA